AAGGACATCAGTTCATCTACTCTATTACAAGGATCTGGAGGCCAGGGTCAATATCTTACACTTTTTATATTCTCACATTACCCATGGTAAGAATTTAATAAATATTTATTGAAATTAATTAGAATCCATTCTCATTTCATAATAAAACAGCTATCATTTGTTTGGGGGATGATGAAACCAAGTCTCTGGCTAGGTTCCTGGTTAAATGAATATATGTGAAGAGCCAAATTGCCATATGATGCTTGGCCAACACATGCTCTGTGACTTAACATCATCTTGCCTACTCTAAGGATAAAAAGGTTCAAAGAAGTACCTATTTCATTACTTCGCCAAGTAGAGAGCTATTACCCAACCCCTGGAGCTGGGGAACAGAGTCTCCTAGGACAAGAACCTGGGAGAGTTCTTCCAAAGTTAGATGTTTTCATGTTGGAGTGAATCTGTACTCCCAGAGTTTGTCACTAACAGATGAGAAACTATTTCCTATGCATCAGATATGGTCACCAAGGGAAAAAAGGACCACAAAGGGAGAGCATCTTGCATCCCATCTCACTGTCCCATAAGATTCTTTGGTAGGGCAGAGGGATCCCAGCCAAAAGAAACTGAAGGGCAGTGTCTTAGTTACTTTTCTCAATGCCTAGACAAAATATCCCACATCTAAAATTAAAGGAGGAAAGGTTTATTTGGCTGGCAGTTTGTAGAGGTTTCAGTCCATAATTGGCTGGCTCCCAAGGCAGGATGGCATGGCAGAGGCGCACCGCAGAGGAGAAACAGTTCTTGGCAGGGAGAAGGCAGTAAAACAATGAAGAAGCAGCAGCAGCAGTCAAGCCTGTCTTTACATTTCATCAAGGCTAACTGCCCTTTGGGTGGTGCCACCCACACCCAAGGAAGGGTGCCCTTAATCCAGCATCACATACCCTACATCCTGCCACCTCCAAAAAATCCCATCGAGGTCTGGAGGATTTAGCTCAGTGGTTCTGCCGCCTCTTCCGCAACCACAAGGACCCAAGTTCAATCTCCAGTACCGAAAAAAAAAAAATCCCATCTATTAAATGAGGCTTTGAGGGGATATCTAGACACAAGTCATAACATTCTGCCCCTTGCCGCCCAAAGACTCATGCACAGCCCTTTATGCAAAAGGCATTTAATCCATCTCTAAGTGTTGACAAAGTATTTACAGTTTCAGCATTGCTGAAAAGTCCAAGTCTAAAGTCTCTTCTGAGATTTAGGGTAAACTCTTAGCTTTGAGTCCCTATACAAATGAAAAGAAAGTCAAACACATCCAACATACAATGGCACGAGACAGACATTTCCATTCAAAGGGTACAAAAAGGGGAATAGAAGGGAATGAGAATAAAACAAGACCAAAATCCGGCAGGGCAAACATTAAATCCATAGTTCCATGTCCAGCATCCTGTGCAGTCTGTGGCAAGATGTGAGTTCCAAAGGGCTTGGGTAGCTCCACCCCTGTGGCACCACTGCAGGTCGTTGGAGCTTTCATAAATTCTCTCTTGGGCCAGCTCTGCTCCCTCCTTACAGCTTTCCTCAGATGATCCAGGCTCCTGGCTTCTCCAACCTTCTGGGGTCTCCGCTGTACCTTTGCTTTCACATGCACAGCTTCACACACTGCTCTCTCAGAGGCACACTGCCTAGCCTCCCAGGCCTTCTTCTAAGATCTGGGAGGAAGCCTTCCTGACACCACAACTCTTACATTCTGCATGCACCTAAAACCAGCACCATGTGGATGATATCAAGATCTGGGGGCAGCTGAATCAGTAACCAGGCTTTCTCATCCCTTGGCTTTAGCAGTTCAGTGCCTGGATTGCTAAGTGCTATGAATCAAATCCCAAGAAACAAATTCCTTAGGTCATCGCCACTCTGGAACATAGGGTTTTAGAGCTCTCTTCTCAAAACAAAGTCTTTCACCTTTGCAATTTTGAGGCTGTAAAAGGTGGAGTCCTACTGGTTCCTGTGACGTACTCAAGCCATTTTTTCTATTGTTCTATCCAACAACCGATGCAGTCCTTCTTCCCAGCAGAAACCTCCTGATCTTTATCAGCAGCATTTCTATCAGCATTCTGGTTTTCTGAGCTCTGACCAGAATCTCCCATCAAATACAGCTGAAAGCATTTCAGGGCTGCTTCCTTAGCCAGGATGTCCAAACCTTTCCAAACTCTTCCCATAAGAAAGTTTGAAAGGCTCCTGAACCACATGATCAGGTACAGTCATTGCAATGGCCCCAATTCTTTGGTACCCAAATCTGTCTTAGTTACTTTTCTCATTGCTGCGACAAAATACCCCACATCCAAAATTGAAGAAGGAAAGGTTTATTTTGGCTTACAGTTTGTAGGAGTTTCAGCCCACAGTTGGCTGGCTCCAAAGTAGGTTGGCATGGCAGAGGGCCATTGCAGAGGAGAAACAGTTCATGGCAGGCAGAAAGCAGCAAAACAGTGAAGTAGCACCAACAACAAAGCCTGCCTTTATATTAAATTCGTGCTACCTGCCCTTTGGGCAGTGGCACCCACACTCAGGGAGGGAGGACACCATTAATTCCAGCATCACACACCCTAGATCCAGCCCCTTCCAAAAAACTCCATATATGACTGCATGCAGCTTTGGCGGGACACTGAGCTACAAGCCTTAAGAGTCAGGTGTTTAGATTTGGAGAAGTGACAACTGGAATGTGTCTATTACCACAGTCGAGGAGCCATGCAGTGGGAGGTGTGATGTGAAAGAGTCTCAGGAGTGAAACACCAGGCCCAGAGACCATGAATCCTCCCATCTCATTCTCCCTCCCAGAGCAGCTGACACACAATTATGTTGACTTAGGGGTTGGAGGGAATGAAAGGGTAGAGAAGTGAAATCTAACTTCGTACCATTACCCCTTTCTCTTTTAACATGAACCAAAAGGAAGGGGAGACTAGCTGAATGTTACATAAAATTCAGTGTTTCAGTTAATCTTTTGTATGAGACAAGTTATCATATTTAATATTTACTTGGTTTAAATTAACTGAGTTTATAGAAGAACAATCTATTACTTTAAACCAAGAACAAAATTATGGGCTGGAATGAAGTTTTCAGGAACTAGAGGAAGACAATCAATGGAATAGAAACTCAAAAACAGTGAAGGAAATAAAAGCAGCATTTTATTCTGGTCACACATACATCATGACATGCAATCCTAACAACCATAAAAGGGAACAATTGCAAACTAAGGCTTCAGGAGGTTATGTGACTTGTTTGTGATTTTAGATCTCAAGAGAAGTGAGATATAAAATCTGTTGGACAATGAAACCCTCCACCTGCTTTCCACTGCCATTAGGATAAAATCCAGACTCCCTACCAAAGCTGAGCGGATACTCCATTGGCTGACCTCTGCTTTGCTCTCTGCTATGGCTTTTGTCTAGATGTCCCCAAATACCCTCAAGCAATTATAGGTGGAGCTTTTTCAGAGGTGCCAGGATCTAGAGTGTGTGAAGCTGGGATTGATTCATGGTGCAATGCTTGGATCAAGGTCACTAGGATTAAGCGCGTGAATGCTACCAGCCCTAAGAAGTCTGGATAAGATATAAGGGATAGAAAGAGCCATGGTGTCCCTTGTTGTTCTGCTACCTTCTCCCTGCCATGAACTGTTTCTCCTCTGTGATACCTGTCCACCATGCCACCCTGCCTTGGAGCCAGGCGATTATGGACTGAAACCTCTACAGACTGTAAGCAAAATAAACCTTTCCTCCTTTAACTTTGGGTGTCAGGTATTTTGTCCCAGCAATGAGAAAAGCAACTAACATACTCTCTGACTTTATTTTGTATCTCATTCACTTACAGAGCTGTCTCACTCCCTGTGGCAGTCAGAATTCTAAGATGCTTGCCGTGATAAAAATTGTGCACTGGTGTGCAAGCCTCCTATGTAATATCTCCTTAAGTGTGAGTAGCACGTGATGAGATAGTCATTGTTAATTAGTTATTTTACACAGCAACTACAGTAGATAGTCATTCCATGATTACATTACATAAGACTGTCTTAATTGACAGCCGAGGAGTCTCTTCCTGGCCTTGAAGAGGCAAGCCATCATATTGTGTCATGTGGCTAGAACCTGGAGGCAGCCCCTAGGAGGTGAAAGCAACTCTGTGAATATTCAGCAAGAAACACAAAAGAGTCTGATAAATAGAGAAAACCGAGTCCTGCCAACCACTGAAATTGGAACGGAACCTCAAACTCAGGTAAGAATACTGGCCAGCAATGACAATTCAGGCTTAATCTTAAGTAGAGGACTCAGGTAAAATCTGACAGAATCTTGACCCACAGAATATGTGAGAAAATAAATGCATGCTGCTTTAAGCCCATAAGTTTGTGGTAATTTGTTATCCAACAATAACTAAGTCCCTTTCCTTTGTTCTTCAAACATGCTAAGCTTATTCTTACTTGCATAGCTAATTTCTCATCATGATTCAGGCCTTGGCTCAAAAATCACATCGTTTACCAAGCCCCACTGCCAAATAGATCCAAAGTTCAGTCCACACATACATCAGGTAGTCTCTTGAAGATTATCTTCTTCTATTGTCATGACAGCACTCACCACTATCACCACTATCTGTTTACTTTTCATAATATGCCCCATTAACTTTTCCAATGGTTTTTAAAAAATATCTTAAACAAACAGGCTTATGAAAAAGTTAAAAAGGTAAATTGTATTATAAGACTTCATCATCAATGTACTCTTGCTGGAGATGAAAACATGGAAGTTCATAATATCATTTTCTCTCATATTATAAGTGTTTGAAAAATTTAAAAGTTTCTTTTACTTTAGAAGAAAGAAAGAATGATGGTATAGTTATTTTCAGATAAACAAAAATGTCAGAATGAGTGACTAGCACATCCACAGGTAATACTGAACATCGTGTTTCAGGTGGAATGAAATGATCCCACAATCAAAGTAGTATGATCCTTCTGCTGTATATTTTCTACTAAGCACCTTCTATTCAGATCTTCTATTCAGACTTACCCTTCCTGAAGTACTTGTAAGTCATCTTTTCATTCAGTAAGCAGGACAGAGCAAAGATCCCAGATACTCCCCAGAACAGTTTCCATTCAATACATGTTGGTTTACACATCTCTTTTACTGGTCACTCTTGAACATGCAGAGTCTGCAAACACAAGTTCCAAGTTTCAAAAGTCAAACCAGCTTTTTTTTGTTTCTTTCTGCTTACAAAGTTTGGGAAAGTCAAACCTATCCCTTTTATTCTGTTAGAATCTCTTAATGCCCAGTCTGAAACAAAAAAATTTATCAAAATGCCATGTGATCTATTTGTTTCAGATCTCTGTCTGTTCAGCCCAGTGTTTCCTTTTTTGAAACCAGTTTCACACAATAAAATTTTAAGTAAACCCTTCATGTACTGGAAAAAACCTGACTCTTCTGAACACATTGCCTCCTTCCTACATGATACAGTCCTCCAGGGTGGATTTAAAAGTTCTTCATACCCACAAATTAACTGAGAAAACAATTTTTTTAAAAAACCACTTTAGAAAAACAGCCTTCCTCCTTCTGTGGGTATACAGCATAAGATAAAGATACCATTATATCTTGGCTAACATCTATAACGATTATGCAACATGCTGCAAGTTTATGGAGAGATTAAATGGAAATCCATTCATCTTGCTTTTCTTTCTGCTTCTCTACTATTATTTCCCAGCAAGTGCCTATGGAATTTGCAACATAAATCTCCACAAACTTTTGAAACAATTTACGTAAATATACCTCCCAAAGACTCACCAATGACCAGGATAGTTTGAAAGCTGCCTTCAGAAAGCCCTAACCTATGCTGAATTCAGTTGTGATTCTGTGTAGGATGAATAACTGTTACCACTTTTTTTCCTTGAAAAAAACCTGTTCTGCTTTAACACTGCATTTATCCATCTTCCACTAGATGCTGTCATAATAGTCACTGAATTGGTGGGAAAACCACAGGGACGAGATTCAAACTCAACATCTAGAAAGTGGATTCAAATCTGTTTCCCAAGGAATAAATTCCAGGAATGTATCAACTCACTCACATTTTCAAGCTTTACTGCCCCTAGGATTGACTCAATACATCAATAATAAACCATAATATCAACAGTATATACCTCAAAGGACTCATGGTTCTAAGGAAATGCATTTCAGAAACTTTCAATGGCCAAAAATAAAGCTATATCACAGTTTTTAGTTTTCAGTTGTTTTCCTAAAATATCATATCTTTTTTTTTGGAGTGAGCCTCACATTTTCGTTTTCAAGCATAATCCAGTAGAAAATGAGTCTCACAGTATCTGTATAGGATTCATGCCAAAGCATATATACCCTGAATTATCTCCCAATTCTGACAGTCCTTTTTCTTATTTATTTTTTCTAAAGAGTAATTTAATTTTCACTTATCATTAATTTTCCATATTATTCTAAGGAGGATCTAAATGGTCTACAGTCAAAGATTTAAATCAGTGAAATCATGGACTGGTACAGGGAATGTGGTATACAATGAGTAAAAGGATGAAGGTGATAGATTCTGATGATACTTAAAGATTCTAATGGTGGCTAACATTTTATGTTCATCTGCTATTTGCAGGGTAGTAGAACAAATCCTTTAAAGACAGAAACAAGTTTTCTTACAGTATGTCTCATATCTAGAATCTCTGCATATTTGACTAAGATGATAAGATCTGGGAGTTTTAAGTTGGTGATATTTAGATGAAAGTTTGGATTTTCGAGTTGATTCTGTAATAGGGTGGAGATTTTGAGGGGTCGTCAGGATGTGATGAATACAAGGAGGATGCATGTGAATCACTGGGAGCCAAAAGGTAGATTTTGATAGGCTTAAAATGGCTGCTAAATTATATGGGTTCTAATCTCTGGAACCTATAAATGTTACTTTATGGAAAAAGAAACTTGGCATATGTGATTAAGTTAAGGATGTTGAGATGGATTGTTGTGGTTTATCCAGATGAGATCTAAATGCACTTTTGAGCATCCTTATAAGGAAAGGGAAGGCCCAGAGGAAGAGAAGGCAATACAACTCCTAAAGTAGAGACTGAAGTCATGTGGCCCCCAAGTGAACAAATGCTCACAGAACAGCTTTTAGAAGCTGGAAATAGGAATGGAGTCTCCCTTACAGTCTGTGGAAGAAATGCAGCCTTCCAAAAAATAAATATTTGCCCTTTGAAACTCATTTCAGACTTCTGCCCCTGGAAATGCAAGATAGTAGATGTGTATTGTTTTAGCTACAAAGTTTGTGGTAATTTGTTATAGTAGCCATGGAAAGCTAATTTAGAGGTAAGGGGGGAAGAAAATTTGAAGTCATTTCTATTGGATTCCTCTTTCTATATGGGTTAAAAGAGAGCATTTGCTGCATCCAAGTGCCTGGATTAGTTCTGAGTTTCCTGGCAGCCAAAGGGGAAAAAAAAAACCCAAAATGTCAAATTTAAAAAATTATTATTATCTAATAAAGTGAAAGATTATTAGCTATTAGCAGAGGTAAAATTTTTCAAATTTCAGGATTTGTAAAGCATCCCAAGAAAGAATTCTATGCAACAAAATGAACAATGTCTTTAAAATTTCACTGGTGATGTGTATTTTATTTTGGCCTTAGGCATGAGGTGAAATCATTGATCTGTGAAAGGTTTTCTAAGCTATGAAAAACCAAATTATCATTTAAAGATAGTGCATATTAGAGATGCAGGCCAAAACAAGGATGGGATAGAAAATGTGGTAGGATTGGATACATAATATGCCCCATATATGAAGGTGTCTAAAAAATGATGCTAACGACTGTGTTGGAACAACTGTTTCAGATTGGGAACTTTCTATGCAAAGAGGGACACATGATCAACTCAATGATAGCATCCTTATGCTTTGGGGGAGAGAATGTTGATCCCTGACTAAGACTAAAAGAAACCTCTGAGTAGGCTTCACAGTCTTCCTAGACACCAACAGAGACTATTAATTTAACATTTCACAAATATCATTATAAACAGATGGAATTTTTTTTATAAATTAAGACTATTCAGAATTTAAACCCACAACTAATCAAATATTTTACTCTTCCAGACATGTATACATGCATTATTGTATAATTGCTATTTTAGCATAGGTAGCAATTTTGTGTTTCTCTCTTTCTGAAAGTTCTGAATGGTCATGATCTGTTGAGCTACTATGAGGGAGTCTAATATTATGCTCTATTCTTCAGTAAGATATTTAGTTTGTCTCTCATTTTCATATCATAAGTAATATGGAATTAAAATAATTCCATTCATAGTCTACATCATTTGGAGAACCACTGGATAACACGATGAGTAATTATTTTAAATTGAGAAAGTCAATTAAATGTATTTAGTTTACATGTATCTGTGTCCATAGTATCTATACGTATCTAGTTACATATGTCTGTGTCCACAGTGTCTAAAGTAAAATACATAAAGCTAGGCCATTCCATGGGGAAGGTAACAGCTTGAAGAGGCTGAATTACTCCCTCTTGATCAAAGGCTTTGTAGACCTTTGTCTTCATAGCATCAGGTGGACACCACTGCCTCAATCTTTGTATCCTGGTTAGAACAGAGCAGACCAAAAATTTGTATTAAAAATGAGTTCATTTACAGCTCCTCTAACAACTTCTTGGCAATAGCTCACTATTTTTCCCAAGAAGAGTCACTGGGGAAAATGATGCCTTTATGTATTTTCCATGAAAAATACAGCTCTGCAAAGATGTGCATATAAGCATTCTCTTGTTTTGAATCACTGTTTGTAATAGCAAAAAAGTAAACTCATGATATTAATAAAGTAAAAAAGAATTAATCTAAATATTCATCACAAAGAGAGCAATCAAATAAACACAATATATCAATAAAAAATAAAGCAATCATAAATCTGGATTTTCAAATGTCAAATATATATCACTGAGAGAAAATTTGCATGTATGATCCCATTTGGTAAAACAGAAAAATATATTCCCTCTCATGTATGCACACAAACACACACACACACACACACACACAGTGGCAAGAGCTATGAAAAGTAGGAAGAAAAAATTAAAAAACATAATTATCTTACCTCTAAGAACCTGAAGGCTGATTTTGTGGAGAAGAATTTTTAATTTTTATCTTATACCATTTTCAACTGTTGTAATTTCTTGCCATGAGCATGATCATAGTAATAACTAGGTAATAAATGAAGAGTTGGCCAGTAGGCATTGACTGATAACCTAATATTTGTTAGGTGTTACAGAAGATATAAAAATACATGAGACGTTGTGTCTCTCCTTACGAGTGAGCCCCTGGACAATCACTTAAAGTTTTTGAGTGTTAGCATAGTGTACAGAGACTTTCCAGCCCTGAAGCAAGATTAAACTCTTAGTTTAATGCTTACTTCAACTCTTAGTTCTGATACCAGCTGGGGGGTGTTAGGTTAAGCCAATTAACTCTTCTGAGTCCAGTTTCCTCAATGATAAATGAGACTAATACCTATTTCATGGATTTCTGATATGTTTTTGCTAATGTCTGTCTTGCAGTAGATGCCTGAAAAATATTGCTGACTCTGAATACATCTGAAAAGGGGTCAGAACTACGTTTGAATTTTCCAAGAGTTCTGTAGGAAGCTAGGTGACTAAGAATTCTGCCAAATGAATATCCTAAAGTCATGTGAGTCTGAAAAACATCTTTGGAAATCAATGGATATCAGCCTGTTAAAATTTTCAGGAATTTTCAATAAATTAACTTTTAACCCAGAATCTTTTGAATATATGAGGCTCTCTGCCATAGGGGCCTCCAAGCTTCACTAATTTTATAGTGTAAAAGTCCATAGGAGAAGATAATCGCTAAATTCAGATCTACTGAACGGCATTTGACACTATCTGTACTGCAGCTACTACTAGTTAAACCTCTTCCTTTAGAAAATATACCGGGGGAATATGAGGCAAAATGTTTTGCAAAGGAGAACTCTATCTGCACTTGATCACTATCAGCTACATAGTATTACCATAGAGAAACACCCAACACCAACTAATGTCTGTGCCCACAGAGATGATAAACATCAATAATGTATAGCTATCACCAAGGGTCTCTTTTGTTGAATTAAATATCCCTTGGTTAAAACTATTTATGCCTACTCTGAAAAGAGAGATTG